CTTGCGTTGATACGGAATCCTGGATCAACCTAGGTTGATTCAGAATCAACACAAATCCGGTTCCGACTCATGACATACATATGCAATTAATCGTAATAGCCAATCTACATTATCAATATAATAAAATATATTGTTATTCAAAAATGAGTGCTAAAAAGATAGGTTATCGTTATGATTATTATTCGTGAAAGTTATCGTTATGGTATCGGTATTTATTAACACACAAATGGTGACTGTGAGATTCGAACTCACGCCTCTTTCGAGACCGCAACTTGAGTGCGGCGCCTTAACCAACTCGGCCAAATCACCTTACTATTAACGAGGGGAGTAAATGATAGAATATATAAAATCGTGGGTATTAGTCTAATCAAGCTGATGAAAAGTTTTTCGAGTTTTTGTTAATTTTGTATGTCAAATACGTATATGCTAAAATACATAAAATCGCAAAAACAATCATGACTAACATTGAGTTCAATTTAGCAGAGTTTAACATTAAACCGTTTAACGAATTTTGTGTGTTTCATTTATTACATGTATACTACGTATGTACGTATACTGTAGAAATTTCGAACTTAATTAATATAGTTTATAAATTTAAGGGTTGCAATACATATACGTACGTATTTAGCATTTTTGGCATTTACATATTTAGAATTCAATGATTTATATGCATTAAAATATTCAATATTCGTTTATCGTAGCTAAAACGAAATGCTCTACGTATAGTGCATGTGCATCCGAGGAAAAACTGTTTAAAAATTTTACCCTCTTTGAAAGTCAAAGTTCACTAGAAATACAGTCAGTAGAAAACAATAAGAATTCCACCTAATTGCTGAAATTCTACAAATAATTTATCATAAGTACGTACACTTATTCTTGTAAACTGTACTTGGTGTCAAATGGATATTTTGGAGAGCACTAGTTGTTAATCATCACTTCAGCAAAAGAAATACGAAACTTGTAAGCCACACACATTTTCCATCAATAATCCTTCATTAAAATACAGTCAAAGTCCTTACAACGACCGCATTGAATTTTGGACTGGTATATTATAAACTTCGGTATACATAGTTAAAAATCGGGATAAGCCGAATATTATCGTTATATGCTATATTCAAAAGAATCGAAGAAATCTTGATTATCATGACGGGAATTCAAATCAGGGGTCATCAATTCAAAGAAATAACGATACTGTATTACTGGCTCGGCTCGGATATGCGTCTTTATTTGTTCCTCTTTCAAACGTTTCACAGATTGGTGCAACTTTTGAAGACTATCCCCAAAGAGGCTATTATAAATACGTGTAGTCCATAATAACGATAATTTTTTTACTGTATTTATCGTTATTAAGCAAATGAATCCAATATTAAATTCCATAATTTTCGACAGAATAATTATAAACGAAATATTCAAAAATATCGCAACTAGTAGCGGCAATCCAAATTCGTTGTTTTCTTGTATATTTGTCAATCGTCGATGGTACAAATCGGCTATTCCATTTATTTGGAAAGACCCGTGTAAAATCTTGACGAGGAAAATAATAGATCGAAACTCGGCTTTTTGTTTCATATCAACAGTTCTCAAGTGCATTTCGATCGAGTCGAAACGGACGTTACGAAAAGAAGGAATTCTACTTGAGCATCATGGTGGCAGTTTGGAAGTTCTTCCTCCTGTTTCCGATTATCCGGTATTTTTGGAGGTTTTATCTCCGAATATTCTATGTAAATGCATCGCGATTTGGATGAATCAAAGCCAACAACACTCTACTGACAAAAGAAGTGTACAATATAAAGAACATATTCTACAGAAAGAAATTTTCGAGCTCTTCATAAATAAAAGACCATCAATTTGTGCGCTAACCTTGTCAACGCAACACATGGAATCTAACAGTAATATAATTCCATCTGAATTGTTACCCTACCTTTCAAACTCTTTCGAATGGCTAACTAAACTACGTAAATTCAAGCATAATGTTTCCAATAATAATCCACCGGATATTTTTTTCTATGCATTCTCTCAACACGCGACTAATCTCGAATCGATTAAATTATGGATAGATGGCGATGATAATAAAGGGGATCAAGGAATAGTCGCGTTATTTGAAACTCAAAAAAATTTGAAAAAGTTAAAAATATATTCCCAGAGACGAAGTTGTCTTCAGATAGATAATGCGTTATTTAAAGTAGCAAACACATTAAAAAAATTAACGTTGAATCATTCATTATGCGTCTCTCCAATGCCAATAAAAAAGTTTATCGGACTGGAATCATTGACGGTGAACTTGTCAAATGGACAAGAAACGGATTCACATTCTGCTGAAGAATTTTTTGTCAACTTGTCATCGGCTTATTTTAAGACTCTAAAAGTATTGAATATCAAAGTTGTCCAGAAAATTCGATTGGCCAGTATTACATCTTTTATCCGACTTAACGGACGATGCCTCCGAGAATTTACTCTCAATTGCCAACCGGTGGACGCATATGCCACAAAAAATTTCGTTGAAGCAATTAGGAACGATTGTCCTAATTTAAAGAAAATGGAAATTTCTATTTATGAAAATGGACCTCAACTGAAGAAACTTTTAACAATGAAGCGCAACTCAAAAACTTAATTATGGAAGAAATAAGAACTTTAAAAAAATATATATTATGGAAGAAATAAGAATTTAAAAAATATAAAGTATTAGTAAATGCAAAAGAATGGAAATAAAAAAATAACGATAATATAAATAAAATAAGAGCATACGCACTGTTAGTTCAAATTTGTCTTTGTAGGAATTTAAAAACCAATCTAAATGTAATTAATGTACCCCTATTCTCAGTTCTAGCAGGAACTCATCCATAACCTGAGGTGAAACAATATACATGTTTGTACAGTATAAGAAAGTTATTGAAAAATACCACTAAATGATGCATTAATTCAACTAAATACATGTAGTCGACATTCTTGAAATATTATCATCTGTCGGAACATATCAATTAGCTTTAAGAAAATTTTCAGCTCTCCCTAAATGTAACCTTCATGCAATATGTTACACACTCCCTAAATGTTTCTATGAGACCCCTAACTATATATTTTTTATGAGTACGATCTCTCTCTAATCTAAATGCATGCCCATGTCTAATTACGTAGCCATATGGTCCTGCGATTGCATTTAGGGACTTTATACAGTATCGGTATAGGAAATTAGATTGTATAGAAATAAAAAACATAGGCTTAACTATGGTACTATTGCATGTACATGCACGTACAAAGTTGCTACGATTATCGTTATTACATGTACATGTACGTATCGGTACAGTAAATACGTACGTACATGTACCCCCAAAAGTAACGCCCGATTTAAACGTATGTATATAGTGAATACGTACATATAAAAAATTTGATTTGTAATTTATCGCCATGGCGATGTATAGCAGGACCCCAAATTTAATAGTAACAGGGACCAAAAATATACCCTTAAACTTTTTTTTGGCCCATAACCCTAACCTTACCCTCTTAGTAAATGGGGGACATAGCGACATATCGCACACGCGATAAATTCTAATTCTCTAAAAATTTGTTGATTTTATAATTAAAACAGTACATGTACTTTCATTTTAAAAGTGGCATAACTCTTGTTCATTTTTCATAAATACAATTGATATAAAATTTAGAAATAATTACTAATAGAAATAAAGATACAGTGAAAATCGAAAATACTGCAACGATGTCAAAATTTATTAATTAAATATAGTAAAATGCGGGTTTTTCTCTTTTATAAAAGTTTTCAATTTTACTAATAAATATTTATTATTTTTACA